ACACGATATACATCCCGCCTACTTGCTATAAAAACGGTCAGACTATTATCAAACTAATGAGAACTACTGGGTAAAAATGAGAGATAACTACAACCGCCACGTCATCCATAGCAAATTAATTTAATCCCCATCCCGAAATAAGCTTCACGACTTACACACGCGAACTGGACATATCAATACCTATTACGGCCTCTGACCGACGTGCCCGAGCTTAATTGACGTCTTTGAAGGCTATAATTTGGAGGTGCATCACACCTCGAGGCGTCTCAGCAACCTAATAAAATTCGTTCTTTATGGTATTTTTGTAAATTTGAACAGCTGAGAGATTTATACTCAGGAGCCAGCAGGATAAGTTAATGCAAAGCTGGCCTTTGATGCCCCGTCCCTAGGAAATTAAAGCAGAGTCCATTCTCTGATGACCTAGATTCGCTTGTGTAGACTAATGGCTACAGCGTTAACTTGGATTGTGCGACGTTAGGGGGAGATTTGTGATCACACTTATTGAGCAAATAATAGTGCGCCTCCAGCACTGCCCCTTTAGTCACGCCCGACGTGACGTTATCTGATGGATGCTATAAAGTTGACGAGAATCAATAAATAGTCAGCCACCAAGGCTTCGGATTCTTAGTCGTGCCAACACCACGCCAGCTTTGCCGAGACATGCAGTAACGGGTGGCGGAGTTTAGGTAGCAGCGTCAACTATCCTCTTTGAGCCCCAAAGCATACAGCAAATTAGTCTATAAAAAGGACTGGCTAAAAATCTCCCCTAACTAATCACGATATATAGTCACCAAATATTCTTTAGTCTATTTTTTTGATCTGATCTAACCAACCCAAACTTACAATTGCCTTATCCAAGACCAGTAAGGAGCATTGACATGCAAAGGGTTGCCAGGTTAAAGAGTAACTAGCTGTCAGACTACGTGGATATGCGAACGATATATCCGTTCATGTTGGGGAACTTTAAATTCAGTTTGGACAAACGAGTGGGAGTGCTCGCATGTTGGTGTGGACGAAAAGTAAAGGGAGATTGCTTTTGATCAGTGACTAGATTTGTACTAATAGGCCCTCGTATGATATACATCACATTTTACGATAATTCACCAAGATACGAAACGAGGCATCCTAAAGCCAATCTATTAAATGGTCCTTTGAAAGCCAGCTTTTATGCAAACCCACTTAATCAGCTCAATCCAAAGCAAGCGCAGAACACGGCAAATGATCCGACCTACCTTCGCCATAAACATTAAGTGGTCCTAAAATCAAGTCACACATCTTTGCTCATAGACAAAACCTTAACATACCGCCAATAATAGAACACATGCGTGTAAAACCAACCGACTATTTTCTCTACCGAATAAATAACTCAATAGGGAGGATAGGAAGCATGTTAGTGATTACGAGTATAAAGGGACCAAAAAACGAGCATAAAGGCTCGTATGAGACAATACACTAGATACGGGAGAGATTGGCACAGACTAGAAAGCCAGAGGCCACCCACCGGCAGATTATGATAAAAATAAGAAAATGAAAACCGCACCCGCAGGGACGCATGCACACGAACGCTTGGGGGAATAATACACGAGACCAATTTGTATAAAAACACTCCACCGATATTTAAATGTAGTCCCATTGTCTGCCCTAAAAGTTAAATTAGTATGGACAAAAGAGCCATACAAAGCCGGCGAGAAGCAACATATCATTGCATATAGCCCCTAACCGACAAAATATCAGACTGATCATATCCATTTCAAGCAAGTACATGAATCGAAGGCCGCATTGTTAAGGGACAGAATTTTCGAATTGTAAATTAAGTATGACAGGATAAAGAGCCAAGAGAAGTATTATTGACTAGAGTCAAAAATGTAGGACCCTTTAACAAGGCCGGAAAAACATGATTAAGTATGAGTGGACTTTAGGTCCAAGACGCCTTCAACGACTCAGCCGAGAATAAAGTTACAAAGGGAGGTGAGATCATAAGAAATAGTAGAATAGGATGTACCTACGAAAGGTTTAAGCAATACGCTTTAAATCGCATAGAAAATTCAAACGTCTAAAGAATCAAATGATCGTTTGTAGTTTGATCAACCAATTCAAAAGAAAAAACTATAAACTCATAAGTCAGGGCCGTATTCACCATCCAAGACGCATTAGCGGTTGCCAAAAACCAAAGTATATATGGAGCGATGTAAAAGTCTGAAGAGAAATAATTCACCAAAACAGATCCTGAAAGACAATGGAACAACCAAGTAGTAATCCTTATAGGAATAAATAACATGAGGCTAAGGAATTAAGATAATTTACACCAGATCTGAGGCGCGACCAGAAACAATTCAGAAATAAATCGTAACTTTTGAGGATGATGAATAAGATAATTACCCTACATCATTAAAGAATGTGGGGATACTTAGTGAGAGAAAACAATAACGAGCAAAAAGATGCTCCCTAAAAACTTTACAAACTAAAAGCCAAAGCGTGACCCCCGATGTTCTGAAAAAACTATTCATTAAGCGCTAAGAGCCTAAAGTGTTTAAAATCCATTTAAAGAAGAAAAGACAGAAATCCATTTTCAGGAATATTAAAGAAACATGCCTATACACCAAACTATCCGTCAGAGACAGGTATGTTATACTTTTCTACCAAGTATTTCCAACCTCGAGATTCCTCTCCTATATCTTTGACAACGATACACGACGAAGAAACAATCTTGCGTGCCTTTCCTTCCTTGTCATATTTGCAAAGGCCAGCTAGCTCACCTAACCTCTTGTTGTCGGGTATCTAAAAAGGAATAAGAGAGAAATTATTACCTTAATAATAGGAATCTCATGCTCTTTGCAAAGAGCTTCGACAAGACAGCTGTATGTTTTGTCGTCACAATTTTCAGCAAGGAAACAGCAGATTGCTTTTCGCTGTTCAATGGCTTTAGTGCATTCATGAAGACCTTTATATAACCCATGACATGCAGCTGCATTTTTTAAGACATGCTGAATAGCCCCGTCTAAGTCGATATCACCTATATCCATGCTTACAGGGTACGGTGTGAAACAAACCACGCGCAGGGTCAGGGCAAGCCGCCGAATCCTACACGGTCGTTTAAAAGAAAAAACTCCGAAAGCTTCTTAACCAAAATGTGATATTTTATATCCACCTATGTAGGGCCAAACAAGTGATCAAAGATAGATTAGGTGTTTTAAAAGAAAATTTATGTAAATATTTATTTTGTATTATTTATCAAGTGATTTCGGAAAAAATTACAGATATCATTATTTTAAGGTTCATGCTTAGCTGTTAGAACTATCTTTGGCACAAACATGCAGCACCCTGTATATTTTTAACATATATAGTTTTGTTAAGAGGATAAAAGATTTAACTTCACGTTAGAGTAGTCAAAATTAAAAATGTGAAGTGACTGTC